ATAAAATTAGACCTCAACACCAAAAGCCACCAAAGAAAAGTCCTTTAACACATAGAGGCTGAACAACACATTGTTGAATCACCAGTGAGTCATGGAAGAGATTAGAAAGGAAATTCAAATGTTCATGATATTCAACAAAAATGAACACACAAATTACCAGCTGCTCTGGGACACAGCAAAGGCAGTACTCAGAGGCAAGTTTATAGCTCTGAGTTCCTACATCAAGAAAATGGAGATATCTGAAGCCAACAATTTAATGAGACATCTGAATCTCCTTGTAAAAGAGCAGCAAGCTAAACCCCAATCTAGTAGATGGAAAGAAATAATTCAAATTAAATCAGAATTAAATGAATTAAAAAATTTAAAAACCATAGAATCAACAAAACAAAGAGTTGGTTCTTTGAAAAAATTAACAAAATTGACAGACCCTTAGTGAATCTTATCAGAAAAAGAAGAGAACACACCCAAATAGACAAACTCAGAGATGAGAATGGAAACATCACCACAGAAACAACCAAGATTCAGAATATTTTAAGAGAATACTTCTCAAACCTTTATGCTAATAAGTGAGAATCTGGAAGAAATGGACAATTTCCTAGAAAATATCAACATACTGAAACTAAATCAAGAAGAGTTAAACCAATTCAACAGATCTATATCAAGCATCAAAATAGAAACACCAATAAGAGACCTCCCATCTAAGAAAAGCCCAGGACAGGATAGATTTTAAGCAGAATTCTACAAGGCTGTCAAAGCAGAACTCACACCAATACTCCTCCAACTCTTCAATGAAATAAGAGAAAGTTCACTACCAAACTCTTTCTATGAAGCCATCCTAACCCTCATCCCAAAACCAGGCAGGGATTCATCAAAGCAAGAGAACTATAGACCCATTTCTTTATGAAGATCAATGCAAAACTTCTCAACAAAATTTTGGTCAATCAATTTCAACACCTCATCAAAAAAAAAGCATACAGTACAATCAAACAGGATTCATTTCAGGGATGCAAAGTTGGTTCAATATACACAAATTAATTAATATAATTCATCACATCAACAAAAGCAAGGATAAGAACCACATAGTTACCTCAATAGATGCAGAAAAAGGATTTGACAAGATCCAACACCCCTTTATGATGAAGGCTCTGGAAAAACTAGGAATCCATGGAACATCCTCAATACAATAAAGGCTGTATAAGACAAACCTACAGTCAGCATTATACTTAACTGCAAAAAACTAAAGCCATTTCCTCTAAAGTCAGGAATGAGACAAAGATGTCCACTGTCCCCACTTCTCTTCAGTTTAGTATTAGAATGCCTAGCTACAGCAATAAGACAAGATGCAAACATCAAGGGGATCCAAATAGGGAAAGCTGAAGTAAAACTCTCCCTCTTTGCAGATGACATGATCTTGTATTTAAAAAATCCCACGGACTCCACTCCCAAATTATTTGAGCTGACTTTGTCAATGTTGCAGGGTATAAAATCAACCCTCAAAAATCAAAGACTTTTCTGTATGCCAACAATGAGAAGAGCACAGTTGAAATCAGGAAAGCTACTCCTTTTTAACAGCCCCACACAAAAAAATAAAATACCTAGGATTTAACTAAAGAAGTGAAGGACCTCTACAATGAAAACTTTAAAAACCTGAAAAAGGAAACCAAAGCAGAACTTGGGAAGTGGATAAACCTTCCATGCTCCTGGATCAGAAAGATCAATATTGTGAAAATGGCTATACTTCCCAAGGATTCAATGCGATCCCTATCAATATTCCAACCTCATTCTTCAAGGAAATAGAAGAGGCAATCCAAAAATTCATGTGGAACAATAAAAGACCCCGAATAGCAAAAATGATCCTTAATAGAAAGAATAGTGCTGGAGGAATATCAATACCAAATTTCAAACTCTACTACAAAGCCATAGTAATCAAAACAGCTTGGTACTAGCACAAGAACAGACCTGAGGACCAACGGAATAGAATTGAAAACTCAGAAATGAACCCACAGACCTATATCTACCTAATCTTCGATAAGGGAGCTAAAAAATACAATGAAAGAAAGACAGACTCTTCAGTAAGTGGTACTGGCAAAATTGGTTAATTACCTGTAGAAAACTAAAGCTAGATTCGTATATATCACCCTGCATCCGAATCAACTCCAAATGGATCAAAGACCTCAAAGTCAAAGCAGACACCCTGAAAACATTACAGAAAGGAATAGGAGAAACCATAGGTCTCCATGGCACAGGCCAAAATTTTCTTAATAGAGATCCAGAAACACAACAAATCAAAGAAAGGTTGGACAAATAGGATTGCATGAAGCTGCAGAGCTTCTGCATGGCAAAGAACATAGCAAGCAAGATCATAGAAAGCCCAAGGATTGGGAGAAGATCTTCACTAGCCATACAATGGATAAGGGTCTCATATCTGAAATATGCTTAGAACTCAAAAAATTAAATCCCCCAACAACAAATCCTCAAAGAAACAACTTTCCAACTTCCCTGAAGAGGAAATAAGAATAGCCAATAGACATATGAAGAAATGCTCAACCTCTCTAGCCATAAAAGAAATGTAAATCAAAACAACATTGAGATTTCACCTCACCCTAGTTAGAGTGGCTATAATCAAGAACTCTAAGAACAACAGATGCTGGAGGGGATGTGGACAGGGAACCTTACTGCATTGTTGGTGGGAGTGTAAACTTGTTCAACTACTTTGGAAAGCAGTATGGAGGTTCCTCAAAAGACTCCACCTCGAGCTCCCCTATGACCCAGCAGTCCCACTTTGTGGCATTTACCCAAATGATCACAGACAAGACCATACTAAAACTACCAGCACAACTATGTTTGTTGTAGCATTATTTACCATAGCTAAGTTATGAAACCAACCCAGATGCCCCTCAGTAGATGAATGGATCAAGAAAAGTGGTATATATACACAATGGAATTCTATGCCTCCATCAGAAAGAATGACATCACCCCATTTGTACAACTACTTAAAGATAAAAATAACATATTAAATAACTAAATAAAACATAGTATCCTAATAAAGCAATATAAGATCTGCCTCCAAACTGACAGATTAGTGTGTTAGTCAAAAATCCATAGATTTTTTTTTTAGAATTAGAAAATGATTCTGAAGCCAGGCGCCAGTGGCTCACACCTGTAATCCTAGCTACATAGGAGGCTGAGATCTGAGGATTATGGTTCAAAGCCAGCTCGGGCAGGAAAGTCTGTGAGACTTTCCAATAAAACACTCAGAAAACTGGAAATAGTTCTGTGGCTCAAGTGGTAGAGTGCCAGCCTTGAGCTGAAGAGTTGAGGGACAGCACCCAGGCCCAGAGTCAAGCCCCATGACCCCCCCCAAAAAAAAGACAAAGAAAAAGATTCTGACATTTTTCTGGAAGAGCTAATGGGTAAGAACGGTTACAAAACAGCTACAGGGACAGGAGGGAGGGTTCTTGCCTGATAGATGTCATGACTGTGTCCCTGTCACCTCCTCTCTAGCACTTGAGATTGTTAGTCATTTTTTGCTGATCTGGAAGTGAGAAAGGTTACTTTGTTATTATTACTTTTAAAATTGACACGGCAGTATCTATTGAAATCCACACACAATAGAATTGTAAATTAAAAGGAAAAGCATTTTGGAACTACATAGTAGAATTAAGCATACATATATAATATAGTCTACATTCCACTCTAGAGAATGTTGATGATAGCAAGAAAGCTGGAGAAAAAAATTAAATTTCCATTGTCATGAAAATAAATACAATGAGATAATATACAGGAAAAGAAGAAAATTCTATAGCCATTCATGATAGCAAACGTGTTGAATGAAAAAAAGAAAGATGCAGAAATATATCTGCAGTAAATACCTAAAAAGCTGGCAATATAATTATATCTCTCTTTGTGTGTGTGTGTGTGTGTGTGTGTGTGTGTGTGTGTGTGTGTGTGTGTAAATGTGTTCTGCAAAACCATAAAGAAAAAAAAGTAGTGGTTAACATGTAAGCAGGATGGGAATGATAGATACAACCTAGAGGACATATAGTGAGGAATGAAGGGATCAGAAATTGGCTGTCAAGGGTCCTGGAAATATTTCTTGATTGCATTACAGATATATGTGTACTTTTAATATTATCACTTCTAGTAATAAGGATTTGTATTCTCTAAAATCTTCTGTGGGTTTGGTGCATTTCACAATCAAACCATCAATCAAGCTGCCAGAAGGTACAGGGCTGCAATGAGAATCCACAAGATAGGCCTAGTAGCTTTTCAAGGATGAAGTAGACAGACGCCTCTATGTGGCTCTGAAACTGGTAAAAAGTGAGAAGAATGCTTTTAAATGGGGCAGAGGCTTCTCTTGCTGCCGGTGGAGTTTGCTGGGGATTTCATGACTGTAAGAAGTAAATGCCCAATTTGTGAAGGAAAGCTTAAGCAAAAGAATATTGACTTTGTTTTGTTTCCAGGAAGGTGCAGCCTTGCAGTCTTGCAGTCACAAAGATCCTGCTGTCTTTTATGACTATCAGGACATTTGTGTCAGTTATTTGCAGAAATAAAAAGTTTATTTTCCCTCATCTAGAAGCAAGTCCGGAAGTAGGCAGTGCTACATTATTCAAAGGCTAGTCACCGTTTTTAAATCCAGATCCTTCTGTCTTTCCATGCTGCCATTTTTAGTGTGCAGCCGTTTCTCCCATGCAGCTTCTACCTTCTCATCTACCTTTAATGCAGCATTAAGGACATTTCCACCAACTACCAACTCCTGTCAGTAGAGTAAAGGCTTTCCTAGAACATATCCAGCCATATCATAGTGGCCAGAATGGTATCAGGTGACCAATTCACACTGCAGGAAGTCTGGAGGAAGTAATTAGTTTGCCACCACAGCAAGTAGTAAGAACAAGCAAAAGGTAAGAGAGAGAGAGTGTAAGGGTACAAGGGTTTCTGAGCAGATAATCAGCAGAATTGTTGAAAAACCCCACTCAGAATTCTTCCTCTTTTCTCTCCAGGTGCCAGTCTAAGTAATGACCTATTTAAATATTTCACCTTCCATCACACCTATGGAGATACCATGACTGTCATGAACCCAAAGCAGATGAATGTTGCTGCTGCTGTCTGGTCTGTTGTCGCTTACGTCGTTGCAGACCTAGAAGAAATGCTACCCAGAACCTAACATTAGCAAGAAAGAAGGTATTTTCATCTTGCTAACCAGGAATCCTGGGTCAACAGCTTCGGGAAACAGCTCTTCACATAATAGCTTATCTGATCCATCTTCAAAGCACAAGTCTTTTTTGTACTTCCTGTTATCCTCTTTCTCAATATTTTCTAAATTGTCTACCATTTTTTAGGATAAAGAATGACCTCTACCACCTCGACAGAATCAAAATACAGTGGGGCTCAGAGTAAGGGTATTTCTTTATACCATCTTTTTTAAAAATACTGTTTCTACTTTAATAATAAACATGGAATGTATCTTTGGAGGATCTCTGGTTGTCTCTGTTCATTTGCAGACACTTAATATGACAAGACCAATTTTTGTTATTGATTCAGTATGAGGATAATTATACAATGTAGTGATAATTAAAAGTATGGAGGTATTTTACTTTCTAGTTTGTAAATTTTATGTAACAAAGTTTTCAAATGAGATGTGAATTTTTAATTTGCAGGAAAGAAGGTTGTTATCATTTGGGGAAAAATCAAGATAGGTAATCAATTGCCTTGTTATATATAAATGATCTAATTAGACAAGAATCCCATTTGATATTTATGTTTTAAATATGTCATATATTTCCATGAAGTGGGCTTATTTGTATTATTGAAGCTCAGAGAGGACAAATATTTACAGGGTCCTGCAGAGCACAAACATTGCTCCTTACTAATTCTGTGGCCTATCCTCCTATCCTTCCTCATACAAGGACCAGTTCCCAATGAAGAGCACCAACAAAAAGCAAGAAAATAAATAATAAATTTATTGTAAAGAAATTATTTGTTGGGCTCATCAGTAGACAGGACAAGGCTAAGGAAAGAATCAATGAAGTTGAACAGAGGTCACAAAAATTAGATAAACTCAAATACTAAGAGAAAAAAGAGTACATGGCAGAAATTCAGAATAGATCAGCCAAGAATTCTGAGACAATTTCACATTGTCTACATACGTGTAATTTAACTATGCTGCCAGAAGAAGATAAAGTATTAAGTTTATTTTTTATTAATTAAAAGGATTAAAGGATGAAGTTTTCCTTTGTAGCAAAGTACTGACCTTTATACTGATCATTAAAGATGCTAAATAACTTTTGAAAAATACTTGATTGAATATATGAATTAACTGGTTAAAAATGAAAGGGACAGAGACTGAAAGGCTCAAATTTCAGAGTTTTGCCCCAGACCTAAGCCAGTAGAGCTAACTGAAGCACAAGTTTCCATCCTCCAGCCTTGCAGCACACATATAGGGACAGGAGCCAAAGGTCGGTACCAAAATCCAGAGACCTGTCCAGGTCACAGCATTTCATGCAAGCAAAGAAAGAGCCCAAGGGTCTGATTTTACCCTCACTCAGAATGGCCATTATCAAGTAAATAAATGATAACAGATGCTAGCAATGACATGGCTAAAGGGGACCCTATTACACTGTTGGTGGGAATGTAAGTTTGTTCAACCACTCTGGAAAGCAGCATGGAGGTTCTTCTGAAAATTAAACATAGATCTATCCTGTGATCCAGAAATTCTACTCCTGGGTATTTACCCAAAAGATTACAAACCAGGATAAAGTAAGGCCAAAGGCACAGCCATATTTACTGTAGTACTATTGATCCCAAGGTACAAAATCAACTCAGATGCCCCTCAAAAGACAAATGGGTCAAAAAAATGTGATATATATATATATACAATGGAATTTTACTCATCCATTAGAAAGAATAATATTGTACCATTTGTAAAGAAATGGAAAGACCTAGAAAAAAAATTAAGTGAGTAACTCAGACCCAGAGAGACAAAGAATGCATGTTTTCCCTTATATGTGGAGGCTAGATTTAGCTGGTAAATTTATAAGTAAATATGTTGGGTGGTATACAAGTGTAATAAATATGTATTAACTGAGGAATAACTCAAATAGTATAATTCCTTAGAAGAGCAAAGTCAAAGCTCAACAAAATAAACCCCAGGAAGCAAGTACTTGAAAGGGATGGGGTAGTGTCAAAGGAAAAGGGACAGACAAAGAGAAGAGGGAGAGAATGCAGCCAAGAAGTCAATGTATATCCTACAAAATTAAGAAAAGTGAAGGAAGAATTGGGGAGGGGATGGATGAATGAGGATGTTGGAAGGGTGACATTGATCATGATGCATTGTATTTATAAACTACTTTATTCAACTCCTTTGTACAACTACTTAACGATAATTTTTAAAATGTAAAAAAAAAAAGAAAGAAAACATAAGGTTGTTTTCAGAGTGAAATTCAATTTTCTACCATCATATCTTCACTAAAGGAAATTTGAAAAAGTGCTCTTCCAACAGAATCAAATGATCTCAGAGCAAACATTAATATAGTGCTGAAGTGGTGAGGAGATTGGCTCCAACATCTCTGTATGATCCTTCAAGCAGATGAGCAATTACAAGGTTTTGTACAACAGGCCTCTTGGGAAAAGGCACCTTGCCCTTCCACCCTGGACAAAGTAGGCAATGAATGCAGTGGGAGCTGCGGCTGTCCAGGCAAGAGACCTCCTAGGCATCCATGCTCATTAGAATAGCTATATTCTTAGCCCAGATTCCTCCATGAATAAGACTCCTCTTAGGATTAAGATGTTCCTCCTCTGACTTAGTACTTTTCCATTTCTGCCCCTTTTCCCTTCCCTCAATTCTTGCCCACAAAATGTCAAGTCTTAAGTTTAGGGCCCTACAAAGGTGGAATATCTTTGCCATCTACGCTGTACCAACTTACCCTTGCATGGTGACACTATCAGGGGAGAAATGGAACTCTCTTCCCCTGATAGACTGCTTAGATTATCTCAGTAAGTGATTATGTTTTCATTCTTCCTTTCAGTGTGGCTCATTGCCTCAATTTAATTGACTATCTCAATATACCAATTTGATAGAAATTAACAGCAAAGAAAAATAATCATCTTTAACAAATATAGATTTAATAGAGCTGTAACAACAATGTTTTTTTTAAAAGAAAACAAGTTAGAAAGAAGATACTTCACTAGAACAGCATATGAATAAGAAAGGAGTTCCTGGAATTGCTGTTGCAAGGTCCTTGTTTTGCCCTAAAGAAAATAAAGACATTGTCTAATTTGGGGCCTTTTTTAATAAAATAAAAATGTTGTTTCTAAGGTAATATAAAACTAAAAGTACCATATAATAACAACACACCCCTCCCCAACAAATGGGATGTGATCAAAGGTACCATAGTCAGTAGCCACAATGGCACTTATCAATAAAACTAAATCTCTTACTGGGCTTGGTGGCAGTACATCCAGCTACTTGGGAGACAGAAGGATCACAGTTCAAGATCAACAAGCATAAGTTACCAAGATCGTATCTCAAAAACAAACTGTGATGTCCTGAGAACTGCCAGAAATATCTTTTATCTTAAATTTCAGCCAGGCATCAATAGCTCATTCCTATAAACAACCCTAGCTGCTTAGAAGACTGAGATTTGAGGATCATGGTTCAAAGCCAGCCAAAGCCAGAAAGGCCAAGAGACTCTTATCACCAATTAACTTGAAAGAAAGAAGAGGGAAGGGGAAGGGAGGGGGGAGGAGGAGGGGAAGGAAAGGAAGGGAAAAAGGGAAAGGAAAGGAAGAAGGGAAAGGAAGGGAAGAGAAGAAGGGAAGGGAAGGGAAAGGAAGGGAAGGGAAGGGAAGGGAGGGGAGACAAGAGGGGGAAGGGAAGGGAAGCTGTAGCTCAAGTGGTAGAGCACTAGACTTACTAAACGCTCAGGGACAGCACCCAGACCCTGAGTTCAAACCCCAAGACCAGTGAATCACACAAACACACACGCACACACACACACCTTAAGTTTGGCTAATAAGAAATGATATAATGAATTAACAAATGATTAACTTATACAGCGTAGAAGAAATCATAACTGAAATTAAATAATTTACAACTGAATGATACCTGTGTAAACAGTGCCATATCAAAACTTGTAGAATGCAGGCAAGCATATTTTTACAGTTTACAAATTTACAGTTCTAAATGCTAATAATGAAAAGATCACCAAAAAGAGAGCTTTTTTAAATTTAGACATAGTGGCCCAAGCCTGCAACTTTACCTATTTGGGAGGCAGAGATCAAGGGATCACAGTGGGAGAGACTCCATCTCAACTAATGGCCGTACATGATAATGAGTGTCTGACATTCACTAGTGATTCAGGGAAAAAGGAAACACAGATAGGAAGACTGTGGTGTAGGCCAGCCTGAGCATAAAGCAAGACACTATTTCAAAAAAAAAGAACACCAGAAGAGTAATATAGAAACATGGGAATGCTTTAGGTAGTGCTATTCATACCCCATCTTCACAAAGAGAGAGATTCATGGCCACAAATGGAAACTTGAGTGGAAAATACCATTGAGTACTCAATGTAGGGAATGATTACTACTACAAGGGCCCTGGGGAGACACAAGGAGATATTTTGACTGACTAATATTAGTCATGCAACTTTCAAAATAGTGTCTTCCAATGATTACTCTAGATGTCTACTGGATGAAGAAATGAAGCACAGCTTTATTCTTTTTTTTAATTTATTTTTATTCTAAAAGTGATGTACAGAGGGGTTCCAGTTACATAGGTCAGACACTGAGTACCTTTCTTTTTGAACTTGAACAAAGTTCTCTGTAATGAAACTACAGTAGCATTTAGTCAGGGCTAATTTTGATTCACTGTCAGGGATCAGTCTTTCTGAATGTCCAAGGCCTTGTGAACTCTGAGGTCTTCCTCTGTGACTACAAAGGAATCAATTCTGTCCTTGTGTAATCCTACTGTCTCCACCTCCTGAGTAGCTGGGATTACAGATGTAAACCCTACAGATGGTGGAATCCAAAGTGAGATCCATTTTGTTTTCTCCACTTACTAGCACCACTCCTTTCCTTACACATTGAAGAAATTTTAAGCTTCAGGATAACTTCAGAAGAGGAAAAACCTGTCACCAAGTGGTATTCTAGTCTCCAGTTCCCACAGGCTGGGTCATTTT